TGTAATTTAGCTAACTCTAGAACTGGGCCATCATTTCTGAACAGTTTACCTTAGATTCAGATGGTGTAATCTCAGATTTCTTTTTCTCTTACAGACATCCTATTTAAAATCATGCATGTGATATTTATTGCGTATATAACTAGATGTGACCTTGCTCGGTCATAAGCATATGGAGATTCAACTTTAATAGGTCCCATCAAAAGACTTTCCAAAAGCCAAAATAGAGTTGGCAATGTGCTTTGAAAATTTGTCAGTTTGTACTAAAATTGAATCTACGCAAGCATTGTGACCTAGGAAGTCTATACCAGGGATATATTCAAAATATATACCAGAAAACATGTACAAGAATATTCTTAGAAACATAATTTAAATTGACTACAATTGTAAAAAATCCAAATGTCTTTTTCTTAGTTCTTTTTTTTTGTTTGATCATTATTAGAATGGAAAAATAAATAGTGGTGTACTTATAAAATTCTAAATGGAATTTTATAAAAGAATTTTTTTTTTTAAAAAAATTACAAAATAGAATACTATACAGCAATGAAAATGCCACATGTGAAAACATGGGTGGATCTCACAGCTGTAAGGTTGAGTAAAGGAAGCTAGACACAAGACAGTATACTGGATGATTTCATTAAATGATGCTCAAGAAGGAGCAAACTATTCTAAGATGACAACAAGCAAAACCGTGGTCACTTTGTGGAATGTGTGTTAGATTGCTACTTCTGAAGGGTGGTTAAAATGGGAAGTGCATTCAAGAAATGTGTACTTTACGCCTGTTATATTTCAATAAAACATACAATTTAAAAATGATATGCCTATTGTGGAGTTTCCATATTTAGAGTAAGAAAAGTAGATTCCGGGAGTAGCAGATGGCATAGCAGTTACATTGCTGGACTCCTACATGGTCGACCACAGTTCGACTCCTGGACCCAGTAGCTTCAAACTCCATGTGGGGTGCATGTGCATGCGGACCCCAAATCCTGACAGGTGAATGGAGAAGGGATTGCGGTGTGGCCATCCACACTGGGGGGTGATTTCTTGCTTTCTGTCTCTCTGGCGAGTCCATGTGCCCTTTAGCAATAATCTCTTAAAAAAAAAAACAGAGAAAAGAAAAGTAGATGGCAAGAAAGAGCGGGGAAAGAATTCCCTTCATTTACTGCATCTCTTTCATTCATTTTCTTTCCTAAATCCAGTGTTTCAGTCTAATTGACTAGTCCTTCAGCCCCCCAGCCCTGAGAGACTCACAAACTTCTTGCCTGGGGCTCCTCCCTTTGTGGGGCGGGTGAGGACGGATGTACACAGGGACACGGTGTGTGAATGAGGACTTACTTCCCCTCCAGTTCTATGCAATGCAACGGGAACTGCAGACGGGAGAGCAAAGCTGTGGGACCAGCCCAGTGCCAGCGGCCCCGCGCTAGCTCCCCGGTTTCAGCTGCGGTTCGCTGGACAGCGCCAGGATGACTCCCTGCGAACTTCCGGGCAAGTCCTTCTAGGAAACCCAGAGGGACCTTGTTCTCAAAGGCTGTTCTCCAGGGAAAATAAACCACTGGAAACAAAACAGAGATTCAGCTGCATTTTTGGCTTCTCCCCCACCCCTTAATTCAGACTTAGCTGGAGCTACCCCTTCTAGGAGTGCGCGCTGGAGCGTGTAGACGGACTTCTCGCCTGTTCTCTTAGGAACGTGGGCGACGCGCTTCACGCGGGCGCTAAACTTGCTGCCGAGACAGAGAGATCGATTTAACCCAAGTCGTGCGCGTTGCACTCTTCAGGGCACCCGGGTGCGTGAAAACTCCAGCGGACACTCCTTGAAAGGAGACCATGCCCCTCAAGTCTCTTTTCAACCTCTCCTTGACTGCTGGCGCGAATCAAAGCGGTTTCCTTCCCGAAGTATCCGAAGAATTTCCGCCCGTCTCGGATGGGACCACCGCCCAGCTGGTGATCCGCTGCGTGATCCCGTCCCTCTACCTGCTCATCATCACGGTGGGTTTGCTGGGCAACATCATGCTCGTGAAGATCTTCATCACCAACAGCGCCATGAGGAGCGTCCCCAACATCTTCATCTCTAACCTGGCGGCCGGCGACCTGCTGCTGCTGCTCACCTGCGTCCCGGTGGACGCCTCGCGCTACTTCTCTGACGAGTGGATGTTTGGCAAGGTGGGCTGCAAACTGATCCCGGTCATCCAGCTCACCTCCGTGGGAGTTTCCGTGTTCACACTCACTGCGCTCAGCGCCGACAGGTAAGGACACAGGTAGCTCTGGGATGTCCTAGAAAAGAGGTTGGAGAGAACCAGAGAGAGAGAAAGAGAGAGAGAGAGAGAGAGAGAGGAGAGAGGATGCGCAGGAGTGCACCTGCACAGTGAGGAGAAGTAAGGAAGGGCTGGGGATGATGGAGAGAGAGGGAGAGTGTACCTGGCAAGGATAGTGAACTGCGTTAAAACCAATTGAGATGTGAAGCTTAAAAAAAAAAAGAAAATTATTATTAAAAAAATAATTAAAATTGTATTCGTGTGAAAATAGCTTTAAAGTGGCCCAGTCCAGTCCCTCCTCCTCACACACACACATATGTGCTCACACCCTCTTAGGGAATCTTTATTATCTATTTCACAGGAAAGTTATAGAGTAAGTGTGCAAAAATGCAACTATCTCATAGAGCTCTTTGTGCGTGCGTAAAGCCTTTGATGTGCATTTTCCTATGCAGTAGGATAATAATCTGATGGGTAAAAATCTCTGCCTCACTATTAGACGAGTGTTTAATTTTTTTTCCAAATAAAGGAGAGCATCATTTCTACATACTGACTAAACTCCATTTAAACAGGAACACTTAGCACAGCAAATGTTCTTCAAACAAATGACTTGTCACGTTCTTCTTTTAAGAGTGCGAAGTGTGCATTATTTTTCTTTTCAGATAACCTAGTTTAACCGTGTCATTTTATCCATAGGTGTGGATACTGAGGCCCTGGGTGTGTAAATCCTTGTGGGAAAGCTGGGAGGAAAATCCAGGCCCCCTGACTAGGGGTCATTGCCACTCTTCCAGAATACTTGTAGTCGTATTTTTGAGCACTTAATATGGAGGGAAGATCCAGGCAGGATTAAGGGCAAAATGTGGAATTAGGCATCATTACATGGAACTGTGGTCTAATACCCTTGGAGTTGTGGAGGGGAGTTGACAAGCTATTTAGATTAACAATTGGGATTGAGTATTTGAAATGGGGGTCACCCTTCTCTTTGATTAACATATTAAATCATGAATGAAAAATGATTCTGGATCTAAATTTTCTGGTATTTGCAAGAAGACTCATTTTGGCTCTGAAGAGTTCATCTTTGCTGAAGGAAAGACAATTTTCAGTGGGGAGTAAAGAGACATTTTCATTTACTTTTTAGTTTCTGTAATATGTGTGCTAAAACCACACTCCTGGAAAATTGATGCTTTTTGTGTAAACTATGTTCCTCATTTTGTTTACTTGGCACATTTCTATGATATTTTTTAAAGTTTTGTTTTTTTAATACCTAGACTTAAAATACGATTTACTGTTTTGATTAGTAACCCCTCTTTATGGAACCCATTTTAGTTATAAAGTTAAAAAAGGAAGTCTACTTAATGGTTAGAATAAAAATGATTAGCTCTGACAATAGTTAAAATTACTATCATTATGCTTTCATTTTTTAAAGCATGACATTAGGTCTTGAATGTGTTTCATGCCAGCTTTCAGCCTATTGTCGTGGAGACACACAGGTAATTTTCCTTGACAGAGGTCAGAGAAAAGGCTACTTCTCATATATTTACTGACTCTTTGTTTCATATGAGTGTCATGTACTTTGTGAATACAGCATGGCGATGAAGAAAGGTGGGTTGCCTTGTCTACTTAGTCCACAGCCTCCCTCTCCCTCCCTGTGTGTGTGTGTGTGTGTGTGTGTGTGTGTGTGTTTTGAAATATAAATTAAGGAACCAGTCACTCGATGAAATTTTGCAATATATTCCAATATTCACTTAAAATAGTTTGGAAATGGTTTGTTAAATATTGTCTTCATTTCATTTTTCTTCCAGAACATAATGAGAAAGTGTTGATTAGTACTTGATCACTTCATAAGTTATGGCAATAGATGTTTTGATTTCTTGTGGGTGCAGACATATTTATAAGACTAATTATACTTAATACTGTGCTAAGTCATGTGTGTGATTTTTATAATCCTCACGATACTTTAAGGTAGGCATTATTATTTTAACATTAACCATTTTAAAGTTAAGAAAATTGAGCCTTGAAATTCAGCAACATTTTCATGATCTCACATCAAGTGATGGAATCAACATTTTGGAGCCCAGTTCAGTCTGCGTTCTTCACCTATAAACCACATTATTACTTTTTTTAAGTATGAGAAATTACTGATAGTCTTGCCTACTTAATGGCAGATTGAACAGTTAAATTTAGAACAAAGCACCCAGGGACCAGCAGTTAGCATAATGGCTATATTTCTGGACTCCCATGTAGTCGACCATGGTTCAAGCCCTGGACCAGGTAGCTTAAACTCTCAGTGGGCGTGTGTGTGTGTGTGTGTGTGTGTGTGTGCCTAGGATCCTTAGAGAAGGGAGGAGAAGGGATTGCAACGTGGTCATCCTCCCCGGGGGATGATTTCTCACTTCCTGTCTCTCTGTCTCTCTCTGTCTTTCTGGAGAGTGCACACGCCTTATAGCAAAAAAAAAAGCCTCTCAAAAAAAAAAAAAGAAAAACCCACAAAACACCCAAAAGAAAAAGAAAAAAATTATATGTATAAAAAGTTGCAGGAAGCTGGTTCATTAAATTTGTTAGCATGAAAGACCATCATAATATGTCACTGTAAAATAAAAGAAGCATTAGATTCAAAATTAAGTAACAATTGTAACAACAGGAAACTAAAAATCCCAAATGAAAACCTGTTATTAGAGTTCTTAAACAACAAACTCAGTTATTGAGTTAACCATGTATTCTATCTTCACAAGATGGCTCAAGTCTCTCTCTCTCTCTCTCTGTCTCTCTCTTGCTGTAGGGCACATGCTATCAGAGGAGCCAGAGGGAAAGTGAGAAAGTACCCCCTGGGGAGGATGGTCACACTGAAATCCCTTTTCCTCCTCAATTTTCCTTTCGGGATCTTGGGCATGCATACACACACACTCAAGTGCCCCTTATGGTTTTTGAACCATTTAACACCCACATCATTGACTGGCCCCCAACTGCCTTTGGCTAGCAAAATAAAGGAAGAGAGTTAAGAAGTAGAGATCGCAGTAATGTAGAACAAGAAACAGGAAGATAATTAGATTTCTGAAGCTATATCCCAACGTGAAGTGGAAACTTACATGTCGTATATCACAACATCACTGATGGCAGAGCCTGAAATAAGAACTACAGTCTTTCTGGATTTGCCTTTAGACTCAAATTCCTTTGCTTGATATGGCTGAATGGTGCTATTAGTGATATTGGCACTTATTATTAATCCTTGGCTTTCCAATATTTTTTGAGGAGTGTCAGTTAATGTGGTCTTAAGAAAGATCTAGTGTCTGGTATAGACATTCCTCAGGGGCACTTCATAACCAGTGTGGCTGGAGAGAGAGTGCATGGTCTGGAATGGTGACAGTGCTCTTCTTAGCTTATTTTGTTCTTGCTGCTATTTTTCTTTTTTAAAGAGAGATTTTTGCTCTAGAGTGCATGTGCTTGCAAGAGAGAGAGAGAGTGAGAGAAAGAGAGAGAATGAGAAATCACCCCTGGGTGGGTGGGAGGGCCACACCTAATCTCTTCTCCATTTTCCTCTCAGGATTTGGGGCATACATGTTTACATGCCCAGTGTGAGTTTCTAGCTACTGGGATCAGGACTCAAACCATGGATGATCATGTGCTAGTCCAGAGCCTTGCCATTATGCCACCTGCTGGTCCCTTACTGCTATCTTGACAGTTTTTTAATTATTATTTTCAAAGTGTACTATTTTTGCTTGCTCTCATGAAATAGCTGATTAAAATATTTCTGTTTTCTCTGTTGTATCGTGTTTCCAACAGTTTTACACACATGCACATGTACAGATACCACCCACTGTAGAATCTTGGGCCATGTGGCTGTGACACAGGTGGGTGGAGCCCAACAAGCTGTACTTTGCTTATGTTTGGCTTGATAGGTACTTCCTTTCTCATCATTAGAGTAGTTGCATTCCTAACTTCAAGGTTATTTCTGTGATTTTTGGAGAACTTTGGCTTCTAAAGTCCCATTTTTTTTTAAGAGAAAGAGGAGAAAGAAAAATGGAGAGGAGAACCAGAAGAGAAGGAAGAAGAGAAGCAAAGACACGAGAGAGAGTGACATAAGCTTTTTTTTTTTGAGAGGTTTTTGCTATAGTGAATGTGCACTTGTCAGAAAGACAGAGAGAGACAGAGAGACAGAAAGCGAGAAATCACCCCCCCCCCAGGGGGGATGGCCACACCGCAATCTCTTCTCCTCTATTCTCCTCTCAGGATCTTGGGCACGCACGCACACGCTCCCAGCGTGAGTTTAAGCCACCAGGTCCAAGACTCGAACCACAGTAAACTACATGGGAGTTCAGTGACATAGCCATTACACTAACTGCTGGTCCCACGTAGGTTTTTGACAGGGGCCTTGCCATTATGATACTCCTGCCCCAGCCTTGCAGTCAGCTAGGACAGCAGGCTTGTGCCACTCTGCCTGATTTACCTAGGCTGGTCTGGAATCTGAACAGGAGCCTACCAGGTGCCCCCCCCCCCCCCGACCTAGTGCACTGGTGCACTATGGCTTGTGCATAGAGGCCCATTGTTAAAACACAAACAACTCTTAGGAATGAAGTTCTCCTTTTTCTTTATATGAAAACATTCCCACAGATTCCTAATGCTAAACGGTAAACCTTATAATCTTATATATTTACATATGTAAAACTAGCTATCAGTTTTTTATTGTGGCTTCTTATATAATTAACTAAAATTCATCTATAAATTAAATTTTAAGGGGCGAACTGGTGGAGCAGTGGAAACACAATACTCTGTGATCTACATGGAAAGGTCTGGGGTTCACAGCTCAGGGCTCTGTGGATTACAGAGTATTGTGCTTGCCTGTGATTTGGGCTGGCTGAGACTTAGGATAGATTATGGTGTGAAAGATTATTTGTATCTAGTATAGACATTCCTCAGGGTCACTTCATAACCAGTGTGGCTGGAGAGAGAGTGCATGGTCTGGAATGGTGACAGTGCTCTTCTTAGCTTATTTTGTT